CCAAACCATCCCAATATGAGCAACTTACCGATGCATCACCACCACTCCCCTCGTGGCAGTCCTCAAAAGATTGCACATCAAAGAGCAAACACTCAGATTCGTGCACACTTTTTCTCATTGCGAGTCGTCGCAACTTGGAATGCTCTCCCAGCCGAGGTAGTTACAGCCCCCTCAGTGTACAGCTTTAAGAAGAGACTTGATAATCATGTACTCACATGAGGACTGTCATCTCCCTCTTGGACAAGCTGTGCGTGATGCATATCTTGAGACCTGCTAGTTGTTAACGTTGCCATCTCCTCAGATCACTCAATCAATCTATCTCTCCCATTATCTCTGTTTCCTCTCCCTTGCTTACACTTCGGTCCTCTATCACAATCTTCACTACCAATTAACAAACTAAATTCATCTATATATTACTCAGTACTGAAATTTTACTCATATTATCATTTTACTTTATCCTTATTACCCCTATTATCCTTATTACTCTCCACATTGCAACTAACTGATCTCCGGTTTGGTAATGTGATAGCTGCTGGTATCCAGAAACTCTACTGCCCTGAAACAATCGTCTTCATTCAAATCCCGAGACATACAAACTCACAACCGACTGCCAACTGACTAGAATTAGACAATCGAGGGGCTAGACCTCCATCCATTGGACATTAACGAACATCTGGAACCGTACCGAAAGAACAAGAATCGAGCGCGAACAAATCAAATTGGTTTACACTAGATCGTGAAAAAGATATTGGATATTGTAAGTATACTTGGTCTTTACGCTCCTAATTAGAATACGTTGAATATATAAATTTTGATCCAGTTTTGACTCCCAAATTGTAAATGTAGATGTGGTTACTTTCCATTTTACTATTGGTTCTCCAGTTTTTTATACCACATAAATTCCCTTGGCCACTTCTCTTCATACAGTCGAACTGATTGTTGGTCAACTGAATCTAGAGCAAAATTTTCTACCTAGACTAGGGAAAGTGTCTCGAGGATTCCTGTGTTATCACTCAGAATTCCTCAGAAGACTGCATCTAATTGGTATCTCTACTAATTAGAACACCCATGTTTTCCAAGCCGACATACGTGGACCCAAATAGACCATTGTACTATCAGCCACCCGATGGAGAGCGTCGATAGAAGACTGCCGCTCATTCTGCGACACATGTTTAGACTCGGATCATACTCTAGCACGAAGATGTATTTGTCTGGGCCTTTCTGGGAATTAAAAAGACAACAAGAAAAACCCCTCAGAGTTCTAGTTAGCGATAACAAAGTCAAGAGTATATTGCAAGAGCAACTAGGAAAACAGTTGGATAGCAGTGTAAGTGATGCCTACCCTGAGGTAGCTTGGAATAATATCCAAAAAGTCGTGGAAACAGCAGTAATATCTGCTGGTAAGTTAAACCGAAAGGTTAGTGAAGAGCAGTGGGTAGTAGCTCGGAAACTCAATCGTTGATTGTTCCAGTCAGTAAGAAAGTAGAAAGTTCTCTTTTGTCATTCAGAGAGGAATCAGTTTAACTAATATATTGTCTCAAATGCTAGTTTCAGTTAGGCTTCGACGACTAATTACAGCTCCTAAAGTGTAGACTCAAGAAAATCATGCTGGTTTAAGACCTTGATGTAGATATATAGGCCAGACAATCACACTTCGACATGCTCTAGAACAAATACAAAATTTGACGTCCGATAATCGTTGTATTCCTTGACCTTACTGCAGCATTTGACTGTTGATGGTGAGGTTCTCTGGCAGGGTCAGTCATTGAAGTGTGTATCAATGAGGGCTCTTTACTTTGATATAACTTGTAGAGTCAGTGATGTTTGTCAGGACTGTCCACTTTCTACGTTCTTTTTAGCTTTGTCATGGGTGTGCTTTTAGAAATAACACTTCCATCGTCTTACTTTCCAGTAGTTGACTTTCTACCAAGTGATTCACTTATTGGCTTAAGATATGAAGATGGTATAATTCTATTTGGTGAAGACACTGACAAAACTCAGTCTTCTGACCACCTTGTTCAACAATGCAAGCATGTTCGGGTTGCGATTCTCCCTCTCGATATTCTGCTTCAGTATTGGGTTGTATCGGCACCTGAACTAGTGATAGGGAGTGAAGCAGTTGAGCGTGTCGACAGCTTCGCTTGTCTTGGGAGTCTCATTAACCTTATATGTACAAGCGGTAAGACCGTTGTATAGTAACCTCATGAGGTTTCTGTCCTAAATCAATTTCCATGAGCAGTTAGGACAATTTTCACATGCATGCATTCGTAGTTCAAGTGTAATTATCCATCTAATCTATTTTAGTGGTTCTTTGTTCAATAATATTATCATCAACTTTTCTATGTACGGCTTTTTTGATATCCTTTTGGACCAGAATTCATGTGCTTTCATTCATTTAACTGGCATACTATTACTAGCCTTTACCTATAGTTGTTACTCTAAACCATCTATAGGCACCTAAATTTGAATACAGAGTTTAATTCGGTAGGACTTAGTCGTCTAGCGTTTGTAAATTCATTATTTAGTTCTCATATGATTGCAGTTATGTGTATAACAATAATTTGTAGCGTAAAATCTACTTTTTAGTCGTAGTCAACAGTCCTTTGTTTTTTTCGACCTTATGTCTACATAGAATCTCACAGGCTTTACCAAATATGACAATTGAGGTTCATAGTTTCCATCAATACATCCACTAATTATCAATAAAGTAGATTAGTTGATGGCTATTTGCAACCAAATCAAGACGTAACATCAATCCATCTAGTTTTTAACTTCCTGCCTTGAAACGTACAATAGTTGTAATCTGTACTTGCATACATTAGATAACAGAGTTCAGAGCTGATGTTATCTACTTAGATTTACTGTTTATTTTACTGTAAGTTTTTATCGTAGTGTCACTTCAGACTTCGCACTCTTTTGTTCCTTTTATTCCTTAAAAATATGTTTCTTATAATTATTTTCTTTCCTCTGTTTTCTTTCATTGTTGACTTTTCTTTTATCACTACGCTAATATATGATGTAGCAAATTAAATCAATATATATTTGTACCAGATCCAAAGTTGTCTGTCTGACTGACACGTTTATGAATATGAAACTTTTTTATTGTATACTTCTTATGTTACTGTACGTGTGAATGTCTATTTCAACCAATTTGTAACAGATATTTCTAGTGTTGTTTCACAATGATCCAAGTTATACTTGCATATGTGTCATTTACACTGGATTTACTTATTAAAATTATCAGAGCATTAAGTCATCAATTAATTTCTCATTGTCACACCACTGGAGTTAGGTTCCAATTATTGTTGTCCATACTAAAAAGTGTAATAATCATATAGATATGTGCTCTAGACTATAATTGATGTATATTATATGATTTAATATGATATAGTTATCCACAATCTGGTAGACGAAAAAAATGTCTAACCCATTATATCTATCTATCTATATGACATTGTGATCATTTATTTTCCCTCAGTTTTCCTTGTAGGTCCATATCGAAATGTCTATGAATCAAAGTCATTCTGCTAATGGCAATGGTGTTGTGCTATTTTACGGAGAAAGGTATATACTCACGTCATTGTTTCAATAAAATTAATGATTATATTTCAGGATGTTAATATTTTACGATGGATGTGATTTGAAACTTGACGGTCAGTGTCTTAAGTTTTCACATGAGGGACGTTTGTACCTGACTTCACATAGAGTAATGAATTTCATTTATTTATCTGTACTAAATTTTATTAGGTGATTTTTATAAACAGAAAATCATCCGCAGGTTTACTTTCATTCAGTATGCCGTTTGTTAATATGAGAGAGGTTGATATTAAACAGCCTGTGTTTGGAGCGAATCGTATAGAGGGCATAATTACAGCTGAACCGAATGGTGGTTGGCAGGTAAATTAATTTACAATCGTTTACGGGTCTTTCGACCTTGTAATAGTAGTAATTTTTAAGTTCATGTCATGTCTATATATATATATATATATAATCGTGTGTTTTCACAATCCATTAGTTGTTTCAGTCATAAAATAGATTCGTTATATGTAAGACCTTTGTAGATTAGCTGGTTTGTAACTAGCTTTATCCAATAAAGTTTTCTCTGTAGCTATAGATTTTTTAAGTAATCATGAACTTATCAATTACATGTTTATCTACCCGACTGTAAACCACATTTTTGTTTAGACCGAATTGTGTTGAGACTTGTTTTCTACCTAAAACCTGGTGATTAAAAGCTGAGTGATCCGGTCACAGAGCCACTATTGTACACAATTATTTATGGTTTTCTAATTTAAGTTGTTTTCGGTTGAATGATTTAATTACTTGTTCTTACAATGTGTAAATTAGTATGTCAACTACTGCAATGTTTTCAACAGTGAAACGTCATTTGTTTACATTTTGATTATCAAGCGTAAATATACCTTCACCAGTTCACGAATTCCCATCAATTCATTTTCTCCAGCCTTCTGTCCCGGTCATAGTTGCTGTCTTGTCGTGGTAGTCGGGAATGCCTATCGTGATGATCCAGCCGAGCTATATTGGCTGCGACATATGTTCCTGTAGGTCCTACCATACCATGCAGGTCTATTGGAGAACGACGAGACTAAAAACAGCTACTCAGTCTGAGGATGATGTCGTACTTCTGACTGTAGATAGATGTGACAGCAGTAAGGTGTTTCCCTCGGACAACCAGCATTTGCAACGATGCTGCCTTCTGACAAGGAAGGAAGGGGTTAGAAAAGGTCGACCCTAAAATTGTCACACCTCACCTTACTTCACGGATTTCCTTCTTTGGCAGTAAGGCCCTTTAAACAAGAGCTGAGCTAGTACTTTAAAAACATCTCAAAAAATGCTGTGCATGATCGGCCTCAAGCAGTTGTCCCTTAGGCTCTGCGGTCACGCTCCCGGGTCTCTAAAACCAATGCTAATCTACCTTCCTTTTCAGGTTCCTCGAGAAACACCCTTCCGCAGTGTGAGCAGCCGGGAAGTGACAACCGCGCTCATACCCGTAACAGCACACGAGACCGAATAGGTCACAATCAGATCCTTCCTACACCCCCTAATACCTCTCTTATCTCCACGTCTCACCCTTTTCACATCCCTTTAACACCCTGCACTGCTAATGCAAACGATGCGAGTTCACGAAAAGTTGTTCCTGGTCTCCTGAAACCCCGTTCTACACTACATGATGGGGCTTTTAATGTACGAACATTGTGGCAAATAGAGCAACAGGCTTCCTTAGCTAGGACTTTAGAATCTCGCACCATCGATGTATGCTGCTCCTCAGAAACGCACGTACAGGATCCGAGTTGCTTTATTCACTTGACCTCACCATGTCAAATAAAGAACCAACTTGATTTACTCTTCGTGTATCTGGAAGCCCTGATGCTGCTTCGCGGAGTCGTGCTGGCGTAGGTATATCATTGAGTCCTAGGGCAGAACAATCTCTCCTAGAGTGGATCCCAGTAGATATTCGATTGTGCGTTGTCCGATTAAACGGCACTGTAAGGACTCGTAAAAATAGGGACATTCGTCGTTGCCCCTTCGTCGTATCTGCCTACACTCCCACTGACTGCGGTTCAGAAGAGGTGAAAGATGAGTTTTCCAGAAAGCTTTCGGACCTCCAAAAAGTTAGGCACTCTGATGTAGTAGTAATGGCTGAAGACTTCAATGCTCAAGTAGGTAGGCTAAGTGAAAATGAAAGACACCATGGTGGATGTTATGGTGTCGCGGCTCAGAGAACAGACAATGGCGAACGTCTGTTGCAACTGTGCTTAGATAACCGCCTATTTCTAGCAAACACTAACTTTAGGTATTATGAAAAACATCTTTTGACCTGGTGACCCCCAAATTCGTCTCAACGTTGGACTCAACTAGATCACATCGTCATCAGCCACCGATGGAGGTGTTCGATAGAGGACTGTCGCTCGTTCTGGGGCACATGTTTAGATTCAGATCATGCCCTAGTGCGAGCTCGTATTTGTTTGAGGCTTACTAGACGTAGGAATGACACCGCAAGGAAACCTCTTATGGTTCTACTTAATGACAGTAAAGCTAAAAATGTATTTCAGGAACAACTAGAAAAACAGTTAGGCGACCATGTAAGCGATTTCCATCCAAAGGCAGGTTTCAATGATATCAAAAAGACTGTGGAAACAGCAGTGATATCTGCTAACAAGATAAACCATAAGTATACAAAGAAACCGCGTATCTCAGTAGCATCAATCTGATAGACGCTCGTAAACTTATCCCACCTGGCTCCGAAGAGAGATGTCAGCTTAAGCGTATGCTGATAAAAAGTCTATGCAATGATCGCGAACAGTGGTGGGTAGCGAAAGCAAGAGCGATGGAAAACGTAGCGGCGAAAGACAACATTAGACAGTTGTTCTGACTTGTAAAGGAAACCTGTATTAGAAATCCATCTGTTAGCGCAACTATCTCAGAAAAGTATGGTCTTATTATTCATTCTCAACCCAAGAGATTGGATCGATAGACAGAACACTAGGTATCGGTTCAGCAGGCCTTCAGCCACATTTCGGTTGCCCATAATCTCCAGTCATCCTGATTGGCAAATTGATATAAGTCCTCCTAGTCGTTACGAAGTTAAAAAAAGCTATAGGAAATCTGAAGCCAGGGCGAGCTTCAGGGCCTGATAGGCTTACCCCTGAGATTTCTAAGGATGATGGTCCAGTTTAAGCAGTAAGATTGACTGAGGTCTTAAGTAGGATCTGGGAACTGGGCCTAATCCCACTGATTGTCCCAGTCTATAAGGAAGGACAACAGTCCTCTTAAGACAATCACAGAGGAATCAGTTTAACTAATATAGTACCTAAAATATTGGCCGCATTGGTACTTGGATCGCAACTGGAGCTCGAGAAAACCAGGCTGGTTTTCGACCTGGACGTGCCTGTATTGACCAAATATTCACACTACTAGGTAAGAATGGCAGATCAATAGATGAAGTAGTGCAAGTTCATCAGTTAAGGTGGTGGTACATGTGTTACCTATGCCCAACCACCGACGACCTCGTTGAGCTATGTTTTGCGATGTAGGAGTAGGTTGGAAGAGGGCTAGGAGCAACCAGACCAAAACATGGCAGAAATCCATAAAGTCACTAACAAGTGTGCTGAGTCATGTTGGTAGATGTAGACTACCTGGTTGGGGTCCGCAAGACTATGGTTAGAGAGACCTTAAACGACATGGCTCAAAATCTTTTGCAATCGCGCAGGTGAATTGACTCTGTGTTCTTTGAAATTCTTTTCTTCTGAATTCGTCATCACCTCTACCTTTCTCTTTCTAAATTTATTTTACTGAATTATACTTCTTGAATAATATATTCGAACCTTAATCTTCTTCATTATCAGTAATAATTTTACTGTCTCTTCCTTAATAGGATTTGAAATGAAAATCGCGTCTCTGTGCTAATATGGTATGACAACCTGAACTGATGTCCTTACGTACGTAGTTCTACGTTGTAACTAGCTAACTGACTAGCATCCTGTTGGTTGTTTCCGACCATCCAACCGTTAAACATTCTTTTAACTTAAGATGTCATGTTGTATGGAAAACTAGTCATGGTTTCAGTGACTTTAAATTCACCTTTGTAAATAATGTTACTAAAAATACTCAATCATTGAATAAACTGAAGCGAGACTAATTAGCTCTTATTATGGTGCTGTGGTGCGAGCTACTTTTAAGTAGTAAATGACGTGAGCGTCAACGTAATGTCTGGCAGCAGAAGATAGGGGAAGATCAAGGAAGGAAGATTTAGAAAAGAATGGAATTTGTGTGAAACGCATGAATAGTGACAATGGATTGATGTTTTGCAACAGGAACAGTCCAGTTCGATATGATGAACTGATATTTTGCAAATTAACGATTTACGATATAGTTTTCCGATTTTCCTGAGTAACTGTAATTTTCGTTAAATACAATTCGGTTGCCCCACCTGTGTTCTCCTTCACTACATTATAAGCAACCTCGAGACTTTCAAGGTTAATGCACTAATCTACTGTCAAATTGTAACAAAACTAAAAATATATTCATTACCAAAGCTCATTCATTTGAATCGTACTAGAGTATTAGTATTTTTCACATAAATCAATTCTTCATTATATAATTAATAACTGAATATTTTTCAAGGGTGAAGCGAAATTCTCGATGACATTCAAAAAAGGTGGTGCTATTGAATTCGGCACAACATTAATCGAATTAGGCAAACGTGCATGCTCTTCAAAACAACAATTCAAACCGCCAAATTCATATTCATCTGTTGCAGATATGAATGGTGCTGGCCAATATTATGCTTGTCCACCACCAGCTTATTCTGCACCTTATAACGATCCATACTATGGATTTGTACGACCACATGAAGCATTCACTGTACCCCAAGGTAATTAATGTATTTTTTTCTCTCTCTTTTCCTATCAACTTTTGCATATTTATAGATTAATGAGAATAAGTCAATACAGTTGTGTATGTGTGTTTGGTTTTTTCTGCTTATCTAAGCTTATATTATTTATGTTATTGTACTAACTAATCGTTGATTAGCAACTTTGAGTGACATGGCTCATACTCATCATTCTCAATGATGCAGATAGATTTACTTTTTATCTTCACTTATAACTTGAACCCTTGAATTTCCTTATACCATCTGTACTTCTACTACTACTACTACTACAAGTCTGAACTTTGTCATATATATATAGTCCACACTGTGGAAGGGTTTTGTTTGTCAGAAGGGGCATCGGCCTCATGACTTCCGAAGGAACTCGGCTGTCATCATGAAACGTCATAACTCTTCTAACTCACAGAGCAGAGTTTAAATGGTTTGAGTAATTTTTCTTGTTAGCATTTTTTTAGCGAGTTAGGTTTTTTGTAGGATGGCGTCGCCAACCCCAATCCAAACCCTTCTCTATCCGGGCTTGGGACTGGCAGCAGCCGCGAAGGATGTACAGGCGGAGTTGAATTGCAGTTACCATGCGCATCAGTTTACGTTCATAATGTAATTTCCAAATTAAATATATTTCAGAAATTAGTATGAGTTCATGATTTTACATTATAAAGCAAACTATGGATTTTTAAAAATTAGATCCATTGATTTTATGTGCTAGATTTGTGCTAACTATTTTAACATTATCGACTTACATTGGGTTCTAATCTATGACCTCCACCTCACCTACTGTTGAATTGTTGATTCTATGTTCTTACGTGTTTACATACTGCTGATATTCTTTCACTTGCTATCAGGTTCATTGTAACATTTGACTAACTAGAATGCAATTGTAATCACCTGATAAGATTCAACGTATGCACTGGATCTCACTGATTGACTCATACCAAAGTTATCTGGTATTAGTTGAAGTCTAATCTACCATTACCATATCGTCAATAAATCGTAAACCTATATTTTTACAGCGGAAACACTCTACCAAGTCAGAGCCCCACCTCCGTACCCCGGTGCTACGCCTACTACAATGACTAGTGATTTCGGACCTACGGCTACTGGTCAGTACGCACCACCCTATCCTATGAACTCAACAACTGTAGAAGGGTGTACACCATATCCAACTACTAACTCATCATATGGAGGTAAGGGAGTTTTTATTTCAAATTAATCCCTTTTTTAATTTAGCGAGTCTCCAATTTCAAGGAGAAATTCGATTTTGTAACCTGTCTATTAGGGACTAGTATTAAAATACTCAGGTAGCTTAAAACCGATCTATATTTACAAATGCATTTGTAATCTTCTTCCATCTAAAACGTTTCGAAATGTTAATGAAGCAAAACATGAAAATAATATGCATAACCGCATTAAGCTTTTCAGGCTATCTTGTCAGAAAACCCTCTATTTTTACTACATTGCTCTCATCTTTCTAATTTTAATAACCTTCTACAATAAAATATTACCGAGATAATTTTTGGTGAGGAACTTGGCATAGAAATGTTTATCTTAAAGCGAGAGTGAATGCTTAGTATTCTACTTTGAGATGTCAAAACTAAAATGTAATACTCTGATAAGCCTTATATTTTTATCTAATGACTTCCCCGTATGTCTCAGTAAAATTTTCAGAATTTGCAACTATTTCCCTTCATTATGTTAAAAAATTGATGGAGAGTTGCAAAATATACATCAGCTACAACATTAAAGTGTTTCACACTTCACACGAAGTAATTCATAATGGCCGTGCTCATCGAAATTATTTGTAATAGTAATGATTTAGTTTATAGTTGTTTCGTTCTGCTCGTCATTTAGCATAAGCCTACTTTCGAGAGTGATTTACTTTAGGTACAATTTTTTTCCAAATAAATATTATACCCTATCAATCAATGAGGATTTAGTTGATTTCCACATAGTGTAGTTCTTAGCTTCCATCTGATAATGGTTTCCAGCCCACCTTATTCATACGTGTTTATTTCTTGTATAATATTTGGTGATTTGGTTAGATACTAATTAATTTTTTAACATATGTCTTTCTAACTAATGCAAACAACGCTGCTGCTCCCAATGGCTCTACCAATGTTGTAAGTGGAGTTTACTACTTCCCGGAAGATCCTCATAGTGTTTACGTACAACCAAATGCTCCAAATTATCCAGGCAATGCGCCATCTGATCCAGTCAATACTCAAGCTAATCACAACGAACCCTCTCCCTATCCAACTGATAACTACGGTCAACTGCAAAACTCTTCCAAGAAAAATCAGTGATTGACTTTGGCTTTATTTACTTCATTTTTCTGTGTTGGGGCAAACGACATTATTTAATCGCTATTAAGAAATTGTGCTAATATATTTGCCATATTCCTTAACAGTTTCTTGGTTCAGAAACTTTCCAGCATAATGTGATGATTGCTTTCTTTTGAATCTTTGTTTGAACATACTTGTTCTTCGATTTTCTGAAAGACATATGTTTCGGTCACTTTTTCCTAATCTAAATAAATTGTATTGTATTTGAGACATCATTAAGTCTTAACATTATGTATCGGCAATTACTAGTAGTCGTTCCCCGAAATCATAAATACCATAGGTGATAAGTGCTGTTCGTTTTAGCTCAGTGTCCACCGAAGGCGGGACAAGCCCCGTCCTACATACTTGTTAAGCCTACAAGGAGCTAATCTGTGTGCACAGGATCTTCAAAGATAGAAAATAAGTTCGTTTTCAAACAGTGAAAATGAGAAATTGTTTCTAGGACACATTGAATATCAAACATTCTTATAAGTGTAAATATTGTCCTTGATAACTCAATTTCCCAATGATAATAAAGTTCCAGTTATAGTAAAGTACTGTATTTGGACTGCAAACATTGTTGAGCTAGTTGTCCTGACAACTAACCTATACACAAACGTCCATCGATCAAGTCATTAAGTTGCTATACTGCTCCCCTCGAAATCATTAATGTATTCGTTAGTTGTAATGCCATGAAAGAAGCAGTATGGAAATAAATCAAAAGATCTATAGTCATTGAATCGATTAATCTCACTAACAACACTGAGCTAAAACATCGTAATATCAACAAGCATTAGGACTTCGAACCGCTGGATTCGTCAACTGTAAAGAAAAATTTGCAGTAAGTGGACTGGGAGGCGCTCACTCAATTTGATATGGAAATTCACTGGGATTTCTTAAAAAACAAATTCTTACGTACTACGAACCAGTCAGTCTCACAATCAGAAGTTACAACCAACTCACAGTCATTGGTACTCTCATTCCTCGGATGCTTAAACTTAAAGAATATATATATATATATATAGTTCAAGCGTGCAAGGTATCAATGTACAAAGGCGTCAAGAGAAGATAAACTTCAATATCAAGCCTGACTATTAGACACATTTTCTCTGGTCAAAAGAGCTAAGTCTGTTATACAGACTCACTTCGACAAGTCAAAGCCGAGGTTTCCTAGCTATTAGGACTTAATGGCATGACTAACTGGCTAAAAATTATCTTGAGACATTTCATCCGTTGCAAACTACTTAAAGTAATGATAGCTTCACCTAAGAGGACTCTGCGAAGTGGACCTTAGCACCTTAAGTGAATTGTGACAAGCGTTTTCAGTTCGAAGTAACAGTTATCAGGACGAAGAGTATATGAAGTTTGGTAATATATCGATTATTCATCACGACATAATTGATGTGCCTGACTCAAGAACGCAACGCGGCTTTCTGCAATTTAATAGAAGGGCGAAAACCAACTTATTTTGTCTCGATTCGAATTATTACTGTCGAGTATTTTATCGTATTTTCACTACACGTAAATTATTTCATAAACATTGTTGAACATAATTAAACAATACCAACAATCAACTGTTTTACTGGTGTAGTTTAATAGGTCTGTTTTTAGCATAATTAGTGTATATTTAATTTCCACCCCTTCAAAATAAGTTAATTATTCATGTGCTAATCATTGTAAGTCGAGTCTTACACAGGAGCTGTTCACGAGGTCCCTTGATCCTTTTGTTTCTCCTTTTAGGGTCATCGACCCACAACTTTGGTTCACTAGACTTAAAAATTACTTTTCCGCTACACTCATTTACAAGTAGACAAATCTGGCCACGCAAGCTCACTGCTATCGCATGAGGTGGTAGGTAACATGCAAAAGATTCTAGACAATCCGGATACAGAGAAGCCACGTATCTAAGAAGACTATAACAAAGGCTGTCTCGTTAACGGACCAACAAGCCCTTAACCAACTTGTCAATCAAGTGCAAATAGGAGATAGGACCAATTCACAGGCCAAACATTTACATGAGAAGCCCAAGATGGGGCAGGAAAGTAAATAGTGCCAGTAGTGGCTGCCGTGACTATCAGTGAATGTGCAGCAGATCCTAGCGGTTGGAGATAGCGATGCAGACATAGATAACATCGCAAAACTAGGATATACGAGAGAACAAAACAGACGAGACAGAAAATGAATAACATCACGATAGACAATAGCATCGACGAGTGACGAAAAAGGACTAGTATTTTTTGCTACAAGCTGACGAGGCTGAATCAGAATGAAAGACAAAAATGATGGTCACGAAGTAAATCGTACGACAGATATCCATCACCCTCTAGGAAACAATCAGCTCCCACGATATACCAGTATCATCGGACGTATGTAAAAATAGCTCGAAAATGTAGGCAGACTGCAGATTCAGATTAATACAACAGAGAAACGGTTAAGCTGTTTGCAGGCAATGACTTCAACAGCTGGTGTAGCTTCCAGAAACAGACGTATACCTTACGCCCAGAACGGAATGACTGTTGCTCAGTTCTTAGTGGACACAGGACCAGAAATGAGCATCGTGCCTCCGTGGGCGATGAAAGATGAATTGATAATACTGCACTAAATCTTAGTGCGGCAAACGAATCTGACATAAGAACATAAGGGGAGCGAAAATTAACCTTGAATTTAGTGGTATCAAACGACAGAAGTGGTCCATATAAGTCACTACTAAATAAGTACGCTGATTTGAGGAAGGCATCATAAAACAGCACTGATCTTGAACATGCAGTGCAGCAACAGATTGTAGTGAAATGTCAACCAATTAATACGAGACCACGAAGACTGGATCCGTTAACATTTTTTCGAAAGCAAACTGATAATGAAGTCGGTATTATAAGACCACCCAGTAGTCACTGGGCATCCCCGTTGCACATGGTTCGAAATCGAATGAATAATTCAGACCATTGGGAGATTATGGAGCCCCTGACAAATAACCTCCGGCAGATAAATATCCGATACCACACACTCACGACATTAGCAACGGTATGGACTGTTTAATGATCTTTCCAAAGACTGGTCTTATTAGGGCTTATTACATTTTCCTGTGGCTCCGGAAGATCTATCAAAAATGGCCATAATCACTATATTCGAGTAATTCTAATTTCTGCAAATACCTCTTGTAATAATTAATGTATTTGAAACCACCAGCGATTCATCAGCCAGGTAGTTAGAGGTTTGTCGGAAGTATATTCATTTATTGATGAATAACTAGCGGAATTGTAAAACATGTATGTCGTGTTGAGCAGATTAAGATCTATCAACACAACTTCTTTGATACTCGAAGAAATTCGATTGAACGAGATAAGCGTAGCGAATGATGTTTCGTTTATTCTGTAGCCGTTAAACGAAAAGCTTTCGAAGCTATGCATAATATTTCGCATTCCGTAGTTCAATTTTACTACTACTTACTTACGCCTGTTACCCCCGATGGAGCATAGGCCGCCCACCAGCTTTCTCCAACCAACTCTGTCCTGAGCTTCCCTCTACAGTTCTGTCCAATGTTTGTTCATTCCTCTCATATCTTTCTCTATTTCTCGGCGTATTGTGTTCCTTGGCCTTCCTCTTTTCCTTTTGCCTTGAGGGCTCCATGTGAGGGCTTGTCTCGTGACGCAGTTGGGTGCTTTTCGTAGTGTATGTCCTATCCACTTCCACAGCTTCTTCCTGATTTCCTCCTCCACTGGAATCTGACTTGTTCTCTCCCACAGTTCGTTGTTGCTGATCGTGTCTGGCCAACAAATACGAAGTATTTTGCGTAGACAACTGTTAATAAATACTTGTAACTTCTGGATGATGGCCTTGGTAGTTCTCCATGTTTCCGCTCGATACAGTAGAACTGTCTTGACATTCGTATTGAAAATCCTGATTTTGGTTTTGTTTGAAAGTTGTTTGGAGTTCCAGATATTTTGCAACTGTAGAAATGCAGCCCT